TATTTGACTACTAAAATATCTAACTATTAAATGCTATGATTTTTCTTCTGAAATGCTTTTATTAAAAAGATAGTATTCATTACAATTGGTATTATTTTAGGACCACATAAATACTGTATTTCAAGTAAAGGCCATTTGTTAATTTGTTTAAATTAACAAATATTTAGTGAGTGCTGAAAATGACAGTCACAGTTCTAAATATTGGGGCACAGTGCTGAAAAGAGACAGAATCACTCAGCAATGACTTGACTTCCTATTACTTTTTCCGTATTCAACTCCTAGCCCCTTTTCTGGCAGTCAGTGGTCATAGGCTGGTCCACATGGATACACGAGAATATAAAGCACTGTAGTAAAATGCTTTAGAAGATTGTTATCCTCCCACCTACAGAGATGCCCTGGGATGCTGTGTTAAAGAACTTCCATATCAGGTAGTGTCTTAAGAACAAAATAGACTGAAAGGTCAGGATTGCTGTTTTTCAGACTTCCAAGGCCACCTGAAGACTGACATTGCTTCACGAAGTCAGGGATGACACAGATGGCTGACTTTGGGAGGCCTCTGGCCAACATGCACCCATTTCAGTCCCTGTCCACCAGGGGGTGCAGCTTCCTACCACAATCACATTTCCTGTGTGAAATGTGGCCTTCCACTGATCATTTCTCTGTCACTCCAATGTTTCTTCATGGTAAGATTAAAGAGCCTTATTTAGGTGACACTCCAGAGATGAAGTGTTCTCCAGGCTTCGTGTCTGTGGTACTCTTAATGCTTGGTAAGTAAAATGCCTCTTAAAACTTGGATTCTTTCTTCCATTGTGCCTGTAAAACTTTTAGTTATAATTTTATCCAAGAGCTTTACGCCCAAGGTGATGCAGGTCACTTTTCTTTTTCCTCAGGACAAACCCATGGAGACTCAGTTACCCAGATGGAAGGCCGAGTGGACCCTCTCAGAAGAGGCTTCCCTGACTATGAACTGTACTTTTTCAACAACATGGTCCTTCACTGTTTTCTGGTTTGTCCAGTATCCAGGAGAAGGTCCACAGATCCTCCTGAAAGCCTCGAGGGACCAGGAGAAGAAAAGCAACAAAGGTTTTGAAGCCACTTTGGACAGCAAATCCAAATCCTTCCACCTGAAGAAAGGCTCAGTGCAAGTGTCAGATTCAGCTGTGTTTTACTGTGCCATGAATGACACAGTGACGGGGACTAACTACAGGGGGGCTGAGCACAAACTCTGAGCAGAACAGGGGCTTGGATCCTGAGCATCTCTTGACTGATCCACTCTGGTTCCAGCATAGTCTGTGGTTGTTCGTCGCTCAGTGTCTACTTGATCCAAAAATCACAGAAAGTACTAGAGCATAGGAAACAGAAGTAACATTCCCCAAACCCAGGTGTTCCTTAGTGACATTGAGAACAGTTTGATGCCAAGAGTTCAAGGTAAAACCACATAACAATGAAGTGGTCACTTGCTCATCCTTGCAGTGAATGCCCAGCCCCACAAGTTGTTCAGGGAACCCTGGTGGGTGTTGCTGTGTCTATGACACTTTTAGAGACTCATCGTGTGCCTGAGGACGTGGCATCAGCCCATGTCTTCCTGACTGGGTATGGCAGGAGCGGTGATGGGAGAGCTTCAGCCCCAAACCAGGATTTAGTAGAGAAAGAAGGGAAGGGAAGAAAGGAGGATGAACACATGAACCCGAGCAAGGAAAAGAGAGGCCAGGGACCTCTGCCCTGCTTTCTTTTCTAGTGAATCAGGTGGTAGACACAGGCTGATATTCAACATGAAAGGGTGTGGGCAGAAACAGAATGGAGGAAGTGGCTCATGTCCTGGCCAGTTAAATAGATCAGTTGGCTTTCTGACAGTAAGAGCTCAAGTGAGATGGTGCAAACTATACAGTATCTCTATATATGGACAGAATTTCAGAAAGAGTTTATCAATTGAGCAGAAAAATTAGAATTGCAATGATCATTAGAAAAATAACGGAAAAAGAAAAGCTTCCAACACAATAATCAGAATATGAATTCTCTCCATTCTTCCTCAACTTCTCTACTTTCCTTCACTTGGAGTAATTTTCACTTGCTAGCCTCTTGGCTTATTCCTTCAGTTCTTCCTAGTCTCTATTCCTAGAATATAGGTGTTCATGTGAGGATGCTTAAAAAGGTTTATTGTTGTAGTTTTTCAGAGATGAAATAAATCATCTTAGACTTTAATCAGTAGAGGAAAGGATGTATAAATGTGAGCATATTCACAATATGGAATATAATGGAACAAGGTGTATATGGGTTAACATAGTAAGACCTACAAGATTTACTATTGAGTTTATAAAGCAAGTTACAGAAAGGTATACCCAGAATGTATATTTGTATTATAATAAAGTATAAATAAAATGCTATATATCTTGGTGTGGTAAAAATCTAGTAAAACACCTGGAAACATCCACTCCAAATTGTCAAGATGAACAAAGAAGTAGGGTAATAAGTGACAAAAGGGTTAGAATTGGGAGTGAAAGTCAAAAGGGATTTTACTCTATAGGTAATGTTTTATTACTTTTAATCATTCATATATTCACAAATTCCTCCTTTGTTAAAAGTAATATTAAGCCATAAAAGTCATTATAAAGGTTTGTCCATATTATCCTCTATTCTTGTCACCAAAATGTGGAAAGGAGAGAATGATCACCTTCTTCATAAGATTTTGTCCAAGGACCTCATGTCTGTTTATTTCTCCCTCCTCTCGGATCACACAGGTTTTAGTTTTCACTCCTCTTAGGGTCCTACTCTTTCACTCTCTTATAGCTGTGTGGATTTTTGTCTTCCCCTGTAAACTGTAAATGAATATGTTTCCACTTTTATATATTTTATTTATTTGTTTATTCTTTTAATTTTATTTCCAGTTAGTTAATATACAGTGTTATAGTAGTTTCAGGTGCGCAATCCAGTGATTCAACACTTCCACAGAACACCCAGTGCGCATCAGGACAAGGACACTCCTTCATCTCCTCGCCTATTTAACCCAACCCCCAGCCCTCTCCCTCTTAAGCATCAGTTTGTTCTGTTTAATTAAGAGTCTGTTGTTTCATTTATCTCTGTCTATCCCATATTTTTCCTTTGCTTCTTTGGTTTGTTTCTTAAATTCCACATGAGTGACATCGTATGGTAGTTGTCTTTCTCTGACTGACTTATTTCCCTCAGTGTTATACTCTCTAGCTCCATTCATGTTATTGCAAATGGCAAGATTTCATTCTTTTTTATGGCTGAATAACATTGCATTACATTTTTATATATTCTGAACATCTAAGATATTACCCCATTGAAACTAAGAGCTCAATGAATATTTACGGATTTCTTTTAAACTAAGGTAAAGAAATCAAAAGCTTGCACAAGGTGAGATTTACCAAATTCTTTTCTTTTTTTTTTTTAAAGATTTTATTTATTTATTTGACAGAGAGAGACACAGCGAGAGAGGGAACACAAGCAGGGGGAGTGGGAGAGGGAGAAGCAGGCTTCCCGCTGAGCAGGGAGCCCGATGTGGGGCTCGATCCCAGGACCCTGAGATCATGACCTGAGCCGAAGGCAGATGCTTAACGACTGAGCCACCCAGGCGCCCCGCCAAATTATTTTCTGATATTAATTTCCATGATATAGCATTTTAAAGGTAGGATTAGGTTCACTTCTAATCCCCAATCTAAGCAGGTATCTTCTTATCTGACCATCTTGCATTTCCTTCATAAAGAAGCTTGGAATAAATGGGCCTGGGGGTCTGTGTCTGCTGAGTGGCTTGATCTGAAGGGGTCTCTGCTGACGGCTTCAGTCCTCTAGGGGGCACTCGGGGCTTTAGAAGAAACAAAGACTTTCTGATGGTCCAAGGTTAAACAGTTAAAGGGAGAACAGAAATCGTGTGAGCCAGTCCAACTATAGATAGCAAAGGTGGGGAGGAGGGGCAGGGTTTGTGTGAAGTTGATCTCAGGCTTTAGGTTCTGCCACTGCATATCAACTTCACACATCTGGAGGCCATGTCTCTAGAAATCCATTATGCACATAATTCTTCACAGATACCAGGATAGGATTATTTCTGGGCATGTGACCATGGAAACTCAACAGAAAACATCCCATTACCTGTTGTCAATTGTTATGAATAAAACTCCCCAAATTTACTGGCCTTGAAATAATTTCAATATCTCAGCTAGCTTACCTTTTCATGTATCTCTGCTGAGAGTGGAGGGAACAAGACTGAAGAAAAGAAGAGAGGAAACAATGAGGAACAAAAACAGAAGGAAAGGGAGAAGACAATATTGACTGTGACCAGCAACGTGTGGCCTGGCCAGACTCAGGTGTGTGGGTGAGCAGGGTCCATGAATTGCACAGGAGACTGGAGATTTGCAAGTTATCTCAGAGAGGACAGTATACTACATTCTATTTTAAACCAACCAACTTCGAGTTGAAATCATTTTCTGTGCAGATGGTGACTGTCTGTCTTAGTTTCTAGAACTCTCTTGATTTCAAGAAGTTGTATTTACTTCTGTAAGACAATGCATACTATCAGATAGTTTTCCTTTATCAATATTTTTTATAACTGAATTCTCACATTGTCAAACTATGTAATTTTGGGACTGGAGTCACTCTTTCCCATGTCTTCAAGGTTCTGGGTAACCGCCTTTAGGCCCTGACTCTACTAGAAATATCATTCACCTTTCCTCATACACAAACCCACAAATTTCTTACATAAAGTGTTTTAAGAAAAAAAAAAACCCTCTTATTCTTCTACATTGGAAATATTGCCTTTACCTCCCTGCAAAATTGGCAAGTACAGTTTTGGAGAAATTACTGTGCAGTGTCACTGGGTCACTGTGGGTGGAGTCTAGAGTTCCGTGAATGACAGAGCTGAGGTGTGATTGGTGCTCAGTGATTCTGGTGGAACGGACTGACTGTAAGAGCACAATTATTCTGGACCCAAGAGTCTAAACTCTGCACAGTAGGCAGAAGGTAACTCATCAACTAGAAAAAGAAGCATGAAGAGACACTGGCAAGCTCTGCTGGGGCTTCTGTGGGTCCATGTTTCCTGTGAGTGGGGGCATTCCTCATGGGTACTCGGGTGGCGTCTACAGTCTACAGTAGATAGGGGGGAGCTAACACAGAGCTCCTAGAGGTTCCTACATCTGCAGAGGTGTTTCTTGGGATTTTTTGCAGGTTTGAAAACTGCGTTGGTGACTCCCCAGTGGTATCATTTGTGTTTCTTTTTCTCTTCCCACGCAGGGGTGAGAGGGATGGAGGTGGAGCAGAGCCCTTCAGCCCTGAGCCTCCAGGAGGGAACCAGCTCTACTCTGAGGTGCAATTTTTCTAGCGCAGTGAAAAATGTGCAGTGGTTCTGGCAGAATCCCGGGGGCGGTGGCCTCACCCGGCTGTTTTACATAGCCTCGGGGATGAAGCAGAGTGGAAGGTTAAACTGCACGGTGAATACTAGGGAACGGTCCAGCACCCTCTACATCACGGCCTCTCAACTGGAAGACTCAGCCACCTACCTGTGTGCGGCGGAGGCACAGTGCTCCCTGGTGATCTGCAGCTTGCACCCAAACTGCAGCTGGGCCTGCAGCCCCAGCCCTCCCTGGGGCAGGCATTTGCTTCCACTGCAGCCTTTGCACAATTTTCAATTTTTGTATTTATGTAGCACTTTTCCCTCCTAAAATTAGACCCATCAGTGTTGTCATTACACCTGCTTTTGTTGCCTTTTTTTCTTCCCAGAAAGCCCTTTTCTGGTAAAAAGCTGCCCCATAGAGCCTTCAGAGCAAGTGACAGAGATGCCCATATACAGTACCCTGGGAAATAGATCTCCTGGCAGCTAGCATATAAATTATAGGTAAATTATTCAGATGGAAAAAGCTCGAAAAAATAGATGGTCATCAAACAATTTTTTAGTTACCTGTAGGTGGTCCTTTTTCAAAGAAGTGTAAAGAGAATGTGTACAATGTTTTTTCAAATCTCTATTCAGCTTTTTCAGTCCGGAAAATACAAATATAATAAAATAATTTTATTGAGGTTCAGGCACCCTACTTATCACATATGTTTTCTATTTCAGTAAGATAATACCCTGTAAATAAGTAGTTTTATTTTATGCGCGAATAAAGGGAGGATTTTAGAGCATAAGTGACTCGGTTGAGCTCATATTATTCCAAAATTAGTGAATCTGTGGTGACATGAGAGCTTATCCTCTGAGTACCTGATACAGAATACCCTATAGAATCTTAATAATTTCTATCAGTCAATTTGTACAATGTGTTGACATGTATCACTGACAAAACAAACTATCCATTTTTCAGTTATTTCTAAATAGCACCTTGCATGGAGGAGCTCATGGAAATTTTCATTTTGTTCCATGGAAATCCATTGCTCTTCCTTGCATTTTGAATGAATCTATTACTCATGATTTTATAACATCATGCCCAGTTTGGGAAAGGGAGCAGAAAGCTTCCAGGACTACCCTAAAAGATCCCCTTCTCTGTTGTAGCCAGAGACAAAGACTTCTGAACCCAAACCCAAAGTTGAAACTTGCATGTGTAAGGATTCCAGCACAAATTGAATTCCAGCCTGCCCTGGTTTTTATTTTGATGAAAGGGCATTAATAGGAAGGACTGGGCCTCTGAAAATTCAGATGGAGCTAAATGCACAGACTCCCTGAAGCTGGGAGCAGAGCCAGCTTCTTGAGCATGTGACCTGTGCAGTTACACAGCGCCCCGCTCTCCCAAGGAACCCTGCCCTTGGTTTAATGCTGTGACATCACTCTCTTGAAATTAATACTAATTTTATCTTTGTACTTGTCTTTTACAAGTGAGTCCCATAAGTGGGAGAAGCAAGTGCCCGAGCAGAGAGATACGTGGGGCAGCAGGACACAGGCAGGGACACATGGAGGCTCAGGCTCTGGGTCACAGCTGTGAGCTGAGCAGTTGGCAGGGCCACCTGTGGTAACCGTGCCTGCTTTGGACTAGCTGGGGCTTTGACAGGCAGCAAAGGGTGTAGTAAATATTGTCAGGAAATTACTACAAATTGAAAATATATACATGGACATTTCAATAAAGTGGTTTGGCAGTTTCTTACACAATTAAACATACTCTTAACTGTATGATCCAGCAGTGGCTTTCGTGAGTATTTACCCAAAGGGTCTGAAAACTTAAGTCCACGCACAGACTTGTACACAGGTGTTTTATAGCAGTTTATTCATAATTGCCAAAACTCTGAAGTAAGGAGCATATCCTTCAATAAATGAATGAATTAATAAATGGTGGTATATCCAAACAATGGAATATGATTCCATGCTAAAAGAAATGAACTATGAAGCCACGAAGAGATAGGGGAAGCTTATATGCATTTTACTAAGAGAAAACGGCCCATCTGAAAAAGCTACATAAGGTATGATTCTGATTCTACAGTGGTGGATACATGCCTTATACATTTGTTCACCCCCATAGAATGTACAATAGCAGGAATGAACCCTAGATCACTTTGGGCTGTGGGTGATATGATGTGGCAGCATAGGCTCATCCACTGTGAAAGAGTCACGGGGAAGGTGATAGCTGGAAGGCTATTCCTGTGTGGGGGCACGACGTGCACTGGAAGCCTCAGTACATCTGCCTCACTTTTCTTGAACCTGGTTGAAATGGTTGAAAAGAAGAAAGTCTTAAAAAAATTAAATTTAGAGACATGAAACTGATATGTATGAAGAGTTAAAGCATTTTAGAAAAATGGTTTCACCAGAAACATTACCTAATGACATTTTCCCCTGTTTTTGAATAACGTTCCCAAATTCACATTTGAAATTATCTCAAAAATTGTATACGCATCCCTTGCTGGAAATTTTGAACCTACAAACTAAGGTTTCAAGGAGAAAGCCAGAATCCAAAAAGCAATTAGGCTGTTTTAGAAAGTTCTCACTTTCCATATTAGTAAGCTCAGGTACCTCCTCTAGGTTGTCTCGGTTGCAGAGATTCTTTTTTTCATACAATACATAAAGAATATGGAGTAGATATATAGAAGAAATACGTCTGCAGAAGAACATCCTGCTTACCCATGACTCAGCCATGAGCTCCCTGGTCTCACTGCCTGTGAAGGACTTTCACTCAGTGAATAAAGACCCATTTTTTCCCATGTTAATATCAATTTATTTTCTCCTTGATACATTATTGATCTCATAGAAGAAATGAAAACCCAGATAAGATCTCATCCTGAGGACCATGTCTCTGCTTCTGAAGAGGCCTCAGGGTGGGTTAGGATCAACCTCAGACCCACTAGATCACATGTGGTTGTGAAAATGGTCTTGGGGTTCCATGATGCTGGCAATTTCACCCCACTCTGACATCAGTCCAGCTTGCACACAACCAATGCATGTTGCTCTCAATACCTATTTGCTTTGTTGTGTAGTATAAAAGAAATTTAGAGCTGGGAGAGCCCTTAGAAATCCTTTAGTCCATCTTCATTTTATACAACAGAGACTGTCCAAGATGACAGTCTGGAACAATAGGTAGTGAATGAACGTTTAGGAGAAATATGATGGAGTATGGAATGTGAAGCAGTGTTGGCCAGGAAGTGGGAATCATGATAGGATAGATGGCTAACACTTTAGAGGAACTTCTCCTGAGGCTATGAGTCAGTAATTGCATTGGAGGACATGCCATCTATTTTGATTTGAGAAAAAGAAATCACCTCAAGATTAAACTTACATCTGTTTATATTTTCTGAGTTTGCAGCTTGATATTTCATCAGTATTTTAACTCTACTTTCAATGCTTTCCAGAACATAAGACACACAGCATTCAAATAGATTTTTTAAAGCATGTCAGATTTCTCTTTGCAAAGTTGTCCAATCTTGGTTCAGTTTCCTGTTGTTGAAACATGAATAACTGATGGAAGTGTCTCCCCTGCTCCTTTATCTTTGAGATTTGGTCTCTTACTTTTTGTCACAGTCATCTTAACTGAGGGGAGATTCCACAATTTGACTGTTGGTACTTTCAATCCTCTCGGAATAGCAAGGTCATGAGCAACACCAGCTAGAAGGAGCACAGTCTGAGATCAGAGGCATTTGAGATATCAAATGATCTTGTCTCTGTTAGTCTAATCTTTGTCCACATGTTCCTTTTTTTTTTTTAAGATTTATTTATTTGAGAGAGAAGAGAGTGTGCATGCGTACCACATGAGCCGGTGGTGGGGTGGGGTGAGGGAAGGGGAGAGGCAGATAATCTCAAGCAGACTCTGTGCTGAGTGTGAAGTTGAGTGTGGGGCTCAATCTCATGACCCATGAGATCATGACCTATGAGATCATGACCTGGCTTGAAATCAAGAGCTGGCTGTTTAACTGAGTGAGCCACCCAGGTGCCGCACTACATGTTCTTTTTACAAAGACTTTTTCTACATAACAGACAATTAAGATGGTAGACTTGGCAGAAATGGAAGATTTTCTACTTTCTTTAAGGGAGTGAATCACGATTCCTTCCTCATTTCAAACATGTACACCAGGTTCATTGCTGAATAAACAGCAATAGCATCTACCTCTTTCCAACTTACTAACAGTGACTCAGTAGTGTGCAGAGGTATAAATCTTGATCTCCATATTCTTTTTTTTTTAAGATTTTATTTATTTATTTGACAGAGAGAGACACAGCGAGAGAGAAAACACAAGCAGCGGGAGTGAGAGAGGGAGAAGCAGGCTTCCTGCGAAGCAGGGAGCCCAATATGGGGCTCGATCCCAGGACCCTGGGATCATGACCTGAGCTGAAGGCAGACATTTAACGACTGAGCCACCCAGGTGTCCCTTGGTCTCCACATTCTTACTGTGCACTTCATCCCTGAACTAAGATATAATTTGCTTGACTATTGCTGCCTTGATGCATGTGAGTCCCTCAGAGGCACAGGCTAAGAGAAGAGTATTTCCCCAGTGAGTTCAGTAGAGATGTGACCACAAGACGGCAGTGCACCTGTGCTGATGCAGAACACGTGGAAGGTTCATTTTAGTGCATCTGATTGACTACTATGGCAGAAGCAGAGTCTTTTTCTTATTGGCCAGTAGACAATGTGGGAAAGTACTGTTAGAGGAAAGAAGGGACCGCCTGACAAGAGAAGGAGCTGAGCTGGCTGGAGGTTGTAATTCTGAAAGTGACTGTAACTGGGAGGAATCATGAAGACATCCACGGGAACTTTAATCATATTCTCGTGGCTGCAGCTGAACTGTGAGTTGAACAAGTATGGGAACCAGAGTGTATTAGTGGATATTCTTCCGAAGTCAAGACTGGCTTTACTCAGGTTTCCTTCAATTAGTGTAGAAGAGAATTCTGAAGCAGACTAACCTGGAATCTCTTCTCCTTTCTCTGACCTTTTCTTTTGGCACAGGGTTCAGCCAAGGAGAGAAGGTGGAGCAGCATCCTTCTACCCTGAGTGTGCAGCAGGGAAGCAGCTCTGTTATCAACTGCAGTTATTCAGACAGTATGTCAGTCTACTTCCCCTGGTATAAGCAAGAGTTTGGAAAAGGTCCCCAGCTCCTTATAGACATTCGTTCAAGCATGGCCACAAAAGAAGACCAAAGACTCACTGTTTTCTTGAATAAGATGGCCAAACATCTCTCCCTGCACATCGCAGACACCCAGCCTGAAGACTCAGCTGTGTACTTCTGCGCAGCAAGCACACATTGCTTCCCAGGCACC